CAGGCTCCGGACGAGCAGGCTCAGCGGCCATGGCTCACGGGCCCAGCCGCTCCACGGCATGTGGGATCTTCCCAGACCGGGGCACGAACCCGTATCCCCTGCATCGGCAGGCGGACTCTCAACCACTGCGCCACCAGGGAAGCCCCGAGGTCTAGGTTTTTGAAGAGACAATTACAAAGATAACTATCACACAATGCGGAAAGTGCTTTAATGGCAGAGGTAAATAATCAAGTCCATTATCAGAAACGTGATTGATTCAGCAGTTTCCACTTCCTTCTTCTCAACCTCCTCAAACTCAGAGATGCCTGCTCTCAGAAACTAAATCACGAGTGTGAAGGGGGTTCCCCCGAGAAGTAAATGAGGGAATTCAATTCGGGGTATCGATTGAGGGCTGGGGCAGAGTGGGTGGACATGAGGAGGAGGCATTGTCTGTGACCTAGAGTTTCCAGTGAAGCAAATGATAGACTCCATTTTCTGGAATTGACAGTAACAAAGGAAGACAGCTGGATGCTACAGCCCCAGTGAAACCTGCCATTGCCCCAAAGCCTGCCTTTGCTGCACCTCCCTCGGACCAGCATTAGCAATCATAGGGATGGGATGGAAACACAGCCTATGTGTTTTAAGAGAGGTAACTCTACGGACACAGGAAGGACAGAATTCCTCAGGTGTGGTCTCACTTTGCTTATGCCTTATCTCCTCCATTGTTCTAACTCCTTTTGGGGGAATTCAAAACCCTCTTGGTTTGGTCCTAATGCAGCATCTTCATCCATATTTGCCCCTCCGCTGTGCAGCTACTCTGAAGGACTCACTCCTCCCTCTGACCCAGCAATTTCACACCTGTGACTCTGCATTAGCGGGCCAAGCCATCTACTGCCACACCATCTATATATGTTCAAATCCTGTGTCTCTTTTAAGACGCAATCAAAATTCCATCCCTTCCGTGACGCCTTTCTCTATCCTCCCAAGGGAGACCATGACTCCCTCTTCCTCACATTCTGAGCTTTCATTTATTTTTCTCCTAAGAATCTTAGCAGTTTCTGTTAAGTGCTGTGGTTACCTGTTTATACTCTACCTGCTCCTACTAGACTGGGGGCACCCAGAGGGTAAAGATCATTAGAAAGGATAAACCATAATTCAAAAGAACATATATATATATATGTGTGTGTGTGTGTATAACAATCACTTTGCTGTACAGCAGAAATTAACACAATATTGTAAATCAGCTATAATTCAATAACATTTTTTAAAAGATCACTAGAAAGAACCAAATCTATTTCTCAATGTAAAATGTGATTTATGCCCACTAATTCTGTAATAATAAATAATAAAGGATTCTGTAATAATAAATAATAAAGGATGGAAAAGAAAATATATACATCTGAAAGTAGACTCTTTCACACCACTGAAATTATGAGTTGAAAAGAATAGGAAAGGAACACTGCTCCGAATTTGGCATTACTTATGTAAATATCTTACAGGCTCCTCAAAATAGTTCAGAGAAATCGAAATCAAGACTTCATTTTAGCAAAGGCCATTCGAAAGAAACCTTAGTATATTTATCCAAAAATTCTTTCAAATTAAACAATTGCCAACAACCTACCTTCCAACTGGTGGTGTTGGAAATGTTTTAAGACAGAATGTGTTCATAAATCTGTGGGCTGACCAGGAAGGTAATACATTCTTACTCCAAAATAAAAAAAGAGAAAATTCCAGAAAAAAAGGAAAACAAAATCGCCCATTCATCTGTCACACAACGTTAAGTACTAATGATGCTTTGGGCATTTATTTCCAATGTTTTTTATTTTTTCCATGTCTAGACCATATATCTGTGTGTGTATACACACACACAATTTATGGTTACAATATTTATCATATACGTGTATATACACACATATATATTTGTATAATTCATCTTATACAGTTGGTACAATTTTTTCTTACTTTTTGACAACTGATGTTATGATTGTATTTCTACTACTTCATTTAGGTTAAGGGCTTAATAACAAACATGCCAGTGGATATATCATAACGGACTTTATCATTCCCTGATAGAGGAAAATTTAGGTTTCCTTATTTAGAGTTATAAATGTTGCTGGGTCAGCACCTTCCTGCCTGAAGATGCCTCCATATTTGAGCCTGTTTCTTTAGAACTCTTTCCTAGAAATGCAATCTCTAGGTTAGTGGGTATAAATGTTTTTAGGCTTCTGACATATTAACACCCGCATCTAATGTTCTTTATGATTTTCAATTAGTGTTTAACCAAGTGCCCCTGGTCACTCGGTGACTGATGAATGGACACATGACAGAAACATGACCTCATGCTTCCTAGTCCCCTAGCGTGGATTCCTTGATTCAGTCCCTTGCATCCAAGGGAAGCTTGTGCCACCCTCCAGGGCAGTATCACACCTGCCCTATCCTTGTGGTTAGAGCAGCTGGGAAAACACAGCAGTTTCAGCTCTGTGGAAACACAGCAGTTTCAGCTCTTCTGGAAAAGTCGTGAGGGGAAGGGACCGGCTGAGAATAGCCCTGGGTGGACACACACCCCTCTGCCGCTGCTCACAGGGGAAACCATTTCCTCACATGAAACCAGAACAAGTCATGTGTTGCAGGCTGAGACTTGTAGCTGACAGCAGCTATTCTTGGATATCCTGAGTCCCTGTGGTTGCCACGGACCCTGAGTTATGAAACAGTGTGAAAGCATCACTATGCTTAAAAATTTCCTTCCTCACTCCTAGATTCCATTTCCCCATCCATCAGGGCTGCCTATAAAGAGCTGGGGAGATGGCCTCTCACTAAAGAAGGACGCAGGCAGCAGCGAGCACCCAGTCCCACACTCAAGGCCACACTCTGTCTGCTCAGCATCATGAAGGTGCCCACAGCTGCCCTCGCTGTCCTCCTCTGCCCCACGGCCCTCTGCAGCCAGGTCCTCTCGGCACCATGTGAGTCTGTGCAGTAGCTGTAGGGGTCCCCACACCAAACTTTACTTGGCCTTGAGAGCCCCCAAGAGAAAATAAAGATCTTCTTAAAGGGTTATGAAACATTTTGGCCTTTCTCTTCAAGATTTTAATTTTTACCGTTATAAAGGGGTCCTCAGATCTGGAGCCAGGGTTGGGGAGTTACAGTCCCATTTTACAGATGGTAAAATGGGGACCTAAACAAAAGAGTTGGCAAGAGGCAGAATCCAAATCTGGTTACCGCCCATGGTGTCAGTCTTGCAGTAACTCACCCTAGGTCCTCCCAAGAGTTTGTCCCTTGGATGTCTCATGAGAGCTGTCCAAGGTTTTTCTTTTGCTGGGGTGTGACTTCTTGAACCAGAAACAATTTCCTGAAGGGAGATGTGATAAGAACAGTCTGTTTGGATGTCTAGAGCACACAGAGAAAGAGAGAGCCCACAGTGAAGAGTCAAAAATAAAGAAGTATGCAGACAGAGGGCTTCCCTGGTGGCGCAGTGCTTGAGAGTCCGCCTGCCGATGCAGGAGACGCGGGTTCGTGCCCCGTTTCGGGAAGATCCCACATGCCCCGGAGCGGCTGGGCCCGTGAGCCATGGCCGCTGAGCCTGCGCGTCCGGAGCCTGTGCTCCGCAAATGGGAGAGGCCACAACAGTGAGAGGCCCGCATAACGCAAGAAAAAAAAAAAAAAAAAAAAGAAGTATGCAGACAGAAACAAGGACAGAGACAGGGATATTTCTAGGGGAAAATGCCCAGCGCCTTCCAGTGACCTGTCTCCCAGTCTGTGCCCTAAGCCAGACTGTCTCTCTCCTTCCGAGTCTTCCTCATCCTGTTCTGAACTATGACTCAGCCTCATTCTGGCCCTTCCTCCACAGTTGAGGCTGACACCCTAACGGTCTGCTGCTTCTCTTACACTGCCTGGCAGCTTCCTCGCAAATTCGTAGCTGACTATTTTGAGACCAGCAGCCAGCGCTCCAAGCCCGGTGTCATGTAAGTGCCAGTCTTCCCACACACCTCTGCGGAGATGGGATGTTGGATGGGGGTCAGAACCCAAGGGCACAGACAGGCCAGGGGCGCCATCCTGGCAAGCCCAGCCCTCCGGGGCCTATCAAGTATATAGGACCCAGGTCTCTGAGCTGTGACCTGACCTGGCCAGGCTTGCAGAGTCAGGGGGTGATGGGCCAGCCCAGAGGGAGGGAGGGGGAGGAGGAGGCTGCATCCTCTGCGGGGCCCCCTGAGTCAGGGAGAGCGTCTCTCTGGACTGAGGTAGGCAGAGGGTCCCCGAGGGAGTGGCAGGCCCTGGGCCTCCCAGAAAAGAGGGGTGGAGGGGCCACAGGGCGCCCAGGATCCCCCTGCTGGATTCCTCAGTGTGTAATTCTTTTGTCCTTCTCGAAAGCTTCCAAACCAAAAGAGGCCGGCAGCTCTGTCCTGGGTCCAGGAATACATCACTGACCTGGAGGTGAATGCCTAAGTGGCCTGGAAGTTTTGAGGAACCCAGTGACCCCAGTGGCCCGACTGGGCAGCAGGGGTCTGAGCCTTGGAAATATCCCTGTCACCTCCACAGCTACCTCTCCTGTGTGCTGCTTGTTTCCAAACAGCAACACTCCAGGACTCGCTCCTAACTTAGATTGCAACTTATTTATATATAATATTAATATTTCATTTTTGTAATTTAATTTCAGTGTCCCACTGTGTCTGGGACTGTGTGCTCCAAGAGGTCCCAAGACACCTTTTCACAGACCTTCCCCTCCCCATTCACTTGCACTCTGCTGACAATTGACTGTCGGCATCTTGTCCTACGCAGAGATGGTGCCAATGCCACCAGACTGACAATCGTGTATTGGATGTTTCCGTTCAGCGCTGTGTTCAGCAAAGCGAAATAATAAAGACGCTCTTTTGAAAAGTAAACTGGCATTGAGTTTGGTTTTGTTTATCTGGCAAATCAGAATCACTGGCTGACTTTCTCTGAAAGACAAATATCATGATATCGCTTGTATGTGGAATCTAGAAAAATGGTACAAATGAACCTATTTACAAAACAGAAATTGAGTCACAGATATAGAAAACAAACTTATGGTTACCAACGGGGAAGAGGGGGATAAATTGGGAGATTGGGATTGACATATACACACTACTATATATAAAAGATAACTAATAAGAACCTACTGTATAGCACAGGGAACTCCATTTGGTGCTCTGTAATGTCCTATATGGGAATGGAGTCTAGAAGAGAGTGGATATGTGTATACGTACGGCTGATTCACTTTGCCATACAGCAGAAACCAACACAACATTGTAAATCAACTATACTCCAATAAAAAAATTAATTAAAAAAAGGAACCACAGGTTGAAAGGAATAGTAGGTTAAAGAATAGGAAGATGGGAAATGGAGGAAAATTGGGAGAGATGGAAGGGGGCTACCACAGAGCTACTCTGCTTTACACTTGTGAATGAAAAATGTTGCCTGCTGTATCAGTAAACAGAGAATGTTGCAGCCATCAAGCCATCACCTTACAGCCACCCCCCGGAGGTAAGCCCTGAGGTAATTCGGGATAGAAACAGGTTGCCCACCATCTAGCAGTCAGCTGCTGCTGCCACCCCCAATGGTGCATCCTGAGGAGACTCAGGATGAGAAAACACAGGATACTGGCCCCAGATAGCTGAGGTTCATATCAAAAGAATGATTTCAGTGAGCCCAGGCTCCTGCATCTTCCCATACATACAAAAGCACTAAATTCCTTAACCAGAGATAGCTGGTTTTCTTTAATTAACAGTAATCTTTTGATGTTCCGACTACCTGGTCTTTGTTGCAAAAACTCCTATAAATCCCGGCTCCCCTCTTGCCTCTTCAGAGCAGTCCCTCAGAGTTATCTGAGGTGTTGTGTCCCGGGCTTAAGTGCTCAGTTTTGTCTACCAATAAAACTTAACTCTTAACTTTTAGGTTGTGCATTTTTTCCAGTCAACACTCTGGAGCCACATTTCCAGAACATTTAAATTACGACTATTTTATGAATCAAATCATAATGTACATGAATGGATACCATTAAGAAGAGTATTCATAATACATATTTACGATAAATCAAACTTTCTGAATAACGGTTACTAACATATCTGAGACTTACTCCAGGCTGAGTGCTTTTTCTGCCGTGTTCATTTGCTCCTCACAATGAAATAGTATAGTTTAAGTACTATTAATATTTTCATTTGACAGAAGCGTGAACTGGGGCTGGGGCTCAGAGAGGTTAAGCAAATTGCCCAAGATCACACAGCAAGTAAGCGGCACAACTGAGTTCCAAAACTAGATTTTGATGTAACTACAGACTTTGCTCTTAACCAGTAACCAAGTTATTTCCCAAAATGTAATCCACCTGTACTCAAATTATAAGCAATGATTGTTTAAGCCACTCACGTCAGAATTTTTAGTTGTGGACCTGGGAATTGATATTTCTACCAAGCTTCAGGTGTTCCACATGCATGTTAACAGCTGAGAACCACTGAAATAGTCAATAGAATTCACTGCTCTTTTCCAAATGCAGTGCATATCTGCATATGCTAACAGGTATATTGTACATTATTTTCCTAGAATCCATGTTCCACAAAATACATGGCTAATGTTAGAGAAGGAAAAGATAACCAGCCTACACGTGGAGCAGGATTCTGCTTATAGGTTTACTGTGACAACTCAGTTATTTAATAGATAGGTTGCCTGAGTTATAGTTATAACTATAAGAAATGTACACTGAGCTAGGGTCCTTTTGGCAGAAGGAGGAGAAATGCAAAAGACTTGTGTGAAAACCAAACATGTATTAATTTTTATGACCCACAATTATTTCATGTTTAAAATAATCTAATTTTTGTACCCCAAATTAGTTTAGAATTATAGTGATCAAACTTTTAGAGTACAATTCAACACTACTGTTAAGCAAACATTAAAATGCACATACTATTGGATCAAGATACCATTTGCCCGGGTTCCATTTCTAGGAATCTGTTTTGTAGCAACACTGCCAGAGGACAGGACTATATATAGACACAAAGATATTCTTTTTTTTTTTTTTTTTT